ATTAAACTGTCTTTATCTCAACCCACCAGTTTTCTCATTTTTACCCTTCTGATTCTCTCCCCCATCCCACCGGGGGGGAGTGAGTGAGCGGCTGGGTGGTGCTTAGTTGCTGGCTGGGGTCAAACCACGACAAACCCATTAAAATAATTTTGTGGTCTGTAGTAAGTTTGTTTCCAGAATGACCTGCAATATGAAATATAGTAGTTTTTATCTCAGAATTTACTATGATATTGGCAGGTATTTTCTAAAGATTTACAAGGTACTACCATATAAATGTAAATAGATACCATAGTTTGTCTCCTGTAATGTATACATATTCTCCATGATTAATGAAATTTAAAAGAAATGTAATTGCATTTATGCTCAATACCTACAAAGTGCTTTACAATATTAAAAAAATAATTGTTCAAGTCTCTAGAAACTGGGTATTTCTAACTGTGTTTTTATAGTATTTTTAGCTTTCTATTCATGTCATAAAAATATCATTTAGTCATATTTTTCAATAATTAGATCACAAATCAGATCACAAAATTAACTTATGCATTAAAATAGAAAAAAAAAATCTTAGCTGCCATACTAACATTATAGGTAGAGGATAGAGCCACACCTAAAGCTGCACAACAAAATATCTGACTTAGAGACTGAAATAAAGGTTTTCTTCAACTTTTGGGATGTTGTTTCTTTTTTTTCAAATCAGAATTGTTTGTAAAAAAAAAACAGCCTGCTAAATAAAACCTCACAATGTAATAAAAGTGTCTCTGCACAATTTCAGAAGAAACATTAGGGAAAATTTCAGTGTTTTTTTAATGAAAACAATTTCTTCACAGCCTAATTGTACTTAACACATTTGTTTACTTTTGAAAATGCTGCAAGACACTTATCTCCATGTCTACGCACCCATATAGCTCGGAAAATATCACCTGTAATAATAAAACCTCACAATGTAATAAAAGTGTCTCTGCACAATTTCAGAAGAAACATTAGGGAAAATTTCAGTGTTTTTTTAATGAAAACAATTTCTTCACAGCCTAATTGTACTTAACACATTTGTTTACTTTTGAAAATGCTGCAAGACACTTATCTCCATGTCTACGCACCCATATAGCTCGGAAAATATCACCTGTAATGCACTGTTGTTGTCAGAGATGTTGTTCTCTGATGAGATGATGATCTCATTCTGTTTGATCAGGTTCTAAGTAACATTGCTGCTTCCTCTGGAATTGTCTTTTCTCAGTAGTCCAATTTTCAAACAAAACAAACTCTCCTAATTGTTTGGCTTTTTAAAAAACATATATTTGGCATAAAATATAGAATGCTGACTAATTTTCTATGTCTTTGTGAATATCTGTTATACCTCAATTTTTTTCCCTACTGAGGCTACTGGAGAGTAGAACAGATTACTTCATACTCCTGACAGCATTATTTAAACACTGTGGTTCTGGTAAAAATTATTTCTTGGGATATGGTTCAATCTGTTTCATTTTCTTAATATCACATGAAGACTATTCAGACCATAGTTTTATAGATGCAGAATTCTACCCAGTAGCAGAATAAGTTGTATATCTGGGGGCGTCTAAACGGAGCATAGCAATTATGTAAAAGAAATTTGAGGGGGGTTAAAATGATATTTTAGTTCAGATGGATTTTAACAAGTAGCCTTCACTAAAAAAATGAGAAGACATTTTTAGAACATTCTAACTCCTTTGTTGGCATTTTTGCTTTGTGATGGCATTTTATTTTAAATTAATTTCTTAAAGGGGAGAGGGGAATCGCATAACTCCCAAAGAAAATTAAACAGTGTGCAAAGGATTGCACAAAATGTTCTAAGTTGAATCAAAACAGTTTCGTTACTCTTCATTCCCTTACATGAACAAGTCTTCCTTGTGGAAGACTGAGGAATGCCCAGGTTCCTACTAAACTTGAGCCAGTGCAATAACCCCAAGAGGTGAGAACTCGTATTTTAACATGAGGATTAGGCAAAGGCTAGCTTGGTACATAGATCTGTATTTCTGTTTAAATTTGATTTGTGCTGTCAACACTTTCTGGCCAAACTGTCTTTAAATCAAATTAGCTTAAATTAAACTTAAAGCTACTGCTTTAATTTGTTTTGACGAGAAGTGTGGGCTGAATCTCACCATCTGGCTTCAAGAGCAGATGTTGAGAAGTAAATAAAATGGAAAAGGAGAAGAAAAGACACAAAAACAAAAGGTGAAGGACAAGAAACAGAGAAAAGAAATTAAAGGTATTACTATAGAAATGAAGAAAAAAAAGCAGTAGCTGAAGGGGGACTGAAATGGACAAACACTGGGAGAATGTATGTTGAAGGAAGAGATGCAGGAACAAGGATAATTAGGGCCAAATTTATCTGTCAGAGATGAAAATGCCATTTCAAGCATCCAGAAACTGCAACACCGTCACGGGGAAGAATTAATTGTAGTCTGCATGCAAAAACAGAGTAAGTAAATGAAGGGGGAGTCCTGGTGGGAGAACACTGCCTGACTTCCCAGGCCAGCAGTCCCTCGCCCTCACAGCTAAGCCCTGAGCCCCAGGGGAACCAAGCTGCATGCCAGAGCCCACCTGCTCATGCAGGAAGGGCGAGGGCGTATCCAGGGCCCTCAGACCTGCCTCCGGGCTCCTCCAAGAGCCCCGAACAGCTCCCTGGTGTGGTCCACACAAGCCAGAGCTCCCCCACCACCCTCACGACTGCAGGGTTCCCCAGGGTGCTGGTGGGGTCCA